GTCAAAATCAAGCTTTTACTGCACAAAGAACATTCAAAGTATTGGATGATACCTACGCAACTTGGTGTCATTTGGAAACACTTGTTTTGCGTAAGCTTCCAGAAAGTAGCAGCACATGCTTTGAATTATTTCTTCTCATCTCCCACAATTTACTACTATCATTTTGGTCGTTGCTGCCTTTGTTTGACCATATGAAGTTACTTCGGGTAAACTACACCTTTTAGTGCTCAAATTATTATTTTTATTTTTTTTAGTCATTTAACTATTATTTTTTTATTATATATCTAATGTTATGTTTTGATTTCGTATTGGTCATCAGTTGTTAAAAAATTAACATAACTATTGATTTAGTATTTTTTTTAAAAAATTCTAATGATGATGTGGCACTATCTTATGATAAAATGTCAGTATCACTATTAATTTTTTAATGATGGATGACCAAATTGAAATCAAAATATAATTTTAAATATGATTTTAAAACAAAAAATATTTAGGTAGCCAAAACGAAATAAAATGATAGTTATGATACTAAATGTGTAGTTTCTAAACCCGTTTTTATTTTGGAAAGGAAGTCCATATTTCTCAAATTTCATATCTTTGAATTAAAGTCTTTTTTTTAAGGCTCGATTATTCATATATTGTCTTATTTGTTACAAATATTGTTATTTTAACTCAAATCATTAAAAAAATAAATTATCATAAATCACTCAAACTATTCATTTACCTAAATTATTTATTTATGTATTTTAGTTTTCTTATGAAGCTAAACAAAGGAATGGAGGTTAGAATTAAAAGACAATTAATTGCAGTTGCAATTAAATAAGTTGACAAAAAAAATAACGAATTCATATTGATTCAAGACACAACAATGATGATAGATTGACGAATAAGGTCAAGATTGATAATATTTATATGTTTTGTGTACTATTTTTTGGCATACTTACTTTTTTAAGGGTAAACTACACAGATGATCACTAATGTTTGAGTAAATTTTCATTTTTTTCTATTGAAGTTTCAAAAGTAAAAAATCAATCACTAATGTTATCGTTTTAAACTACCAAGATTGTTCTCGATTCAATATATAACAAATAGTAGTATAGTATACTAGAGGAAATAAAAGTGATAAAGAAGGCTCTCCTAAGTCCTAACTCCTCGGCTTCTGGTATCTTTGAAGGATTCTAGTAGCCTCATCATTTTTGGTGCATTTATATGCCATGTAGTTTGTTGTTCTCATTAGCTTCTCTTTATTTTTTGTTTTTTACGTTCAAGTAATTATCAACCGTTAATTGGTTCTATTTCAGTGTCAAATATCTTAATCGTTCTATTTGTTTCTTTATCCATCTTCTTGTGATTCACTTGTTGTGTTCCTCTCTTTATAGAAGTTATGGGGGAATCAATGTTATTTGCGGTATTTGTTCTTGATTTGTGATGGCAAAACTAAGATAATAAGCTCAATTACTTATATTATCTGTGTGTCGAAGTAGCATAGGTTAAATGGATTTTTAAATGGGAAATCTGAAAAATAAGAAGTTCCATTTTAACAGGGAAAAGCCAAGGTAAGACGTTGGTCGTTGAAGCAATGAGCTGGGATTCATGGATTTCAAAGATCATGAGAGTTCTTGGTGCAGTGACATTGCTCCAGCCCGAATATTCTGACAGTCCCCTTAAATGCATAGAGCTTTGCGTTCGAGTTTTTCAACAGATTTCTGTACCAGCTGCTACCAAATATTCTATTCCCACCATTAGAGAACTGTATTATTAGGTTAACCTCCCAGCTCAATCGATATTATCATAAATTTGTCTTTTCCACAATGAGGAAGTTGGCTATGGTCTTGGGATGCATTTATCGGTCGCTCCCCACTAAATCGATATTATCATAAATTTGTCTTTTCCACATTGAGGAAGTTGACTATGGTCTTGGGATGCATTTATCGATCGCTCCCCACTAAATACATCCTTGCCACTTTCAACATCACCAACTTGACCTTCATCGTCACAAGTGATTCCATTGAAGCCGCAAATGGAATTGGGTTCCCGCCAGTGGTAGATCTAGAAATTAAAAAATTGTGGTCCAAAATTTTAATACCCTATTCTAAAAAATTTTGGGTATGAAAATTTTCTTATTTTTTTTCTATTCATATTAACAAATTAAACTAAATTTAAGATTTTTCTCAAAATAATAGGTGTGCAATAGCTCCCTTAAGGAGCCATGTACATCCGCCCCTGATTCCCGCCATGAATAGAGAACAATGATGGTGGATTTATTAAGAGCGAGTTTTTAACGTAGAGGAATTTATTACTCCCCAAATGTATAGAGGAATTGCTGAAAATCCTCTCTTAGATATTTGTTTGAGAGAAGAAAATGTTTGTTTAGTTGCTAAGAAAATAAGGGAAAGTGAATGAGTTATCAAGATAAGTCACCTTGTATGGTCAAACTAACGTGTCACATCATCATTCCGTTACTGCAATAACGGTAGTTAACGGTGAGTGACTTATTTGTTATAAATCGATAACGTTAGTGATCAATTTGTTACTTTTGAAACTTCAGTAGATAAAACTAAAACTTACTCAAACATTAATGACCATTTGTGTAGTTTACCCTACTTTTAACTTACTTTTTAGAGAAATTTATGTTTATAGTTTTCAATCATTTTTATCCTATAAATTTTGAATATCTTTAAGGTATAATTATAATTAATTTTGTAGTTAAAATTAAAATATTAAACGAATTTAATGATATGAAATATTTTAATTAATAGGAACCAGCAATAAGGTGGTGAGAAAAATCCATAGAAAAATTTCTAGTGGATTTCTGTTGGTATTTAAACTCCCGTGTCTTAACAAGGGAAGTTAAATATAAGCAAATTGTTGCGCATTTTGGGTTATCTTAGAGGAAAGCATACTGCCATATATGGTATACGACTACATGCACTATTTTTTTCATTTAATCCATGGCTGTTAGGTCCATTCATCGATTATTTTAAATTAAATTTTGTAGACTTATTATGGGTGATCTTCTAACCCAATTTACTTTATTTACAAATATTAAAATTCAAACTTTACTTAAAAAATCTAAAAATCATCCACTAGATTAATTTATTGTTGGTCATAGACGCTACTCTTTAATTCTCTTGTTGATATTTCTCTAGTTATCATCCACTAGATAATATCAACTTTTTCCTTCATTTGTTGAAGACATGTATTTAAATTGTAATTGTGATCGCGTTTTTAGTTGCGCTGTGTTTATCATGATTGTATATACAACGAACACTATTGCAGTGACTACGGATATCGCAATCATACAATGATTATATTAGATGACACTGCTATCGTTATATAATGAATAATAAATCCCTGTTCATGGCAAATACGGGATGTAAAAATCCTAATTTTTTTGTTCAAAAACGTTACTTTTTTATTACTCTGGGATAAGTATAAGATAATATATATTCAAAGATAATTCTTAATCATTTTACATTAAACGTTTATATCACAAATATTTATAATGCTCGAATCCAAAATTTTGAAGAATGATTCTTTACCACTAAAGTGGTTTGGTTTCAGTTACTTAAAGCAAAGCAAAGCTTTCACAAGTTCGTACTTCTGATGTGAGTCACAGATGCCATAGAGGGGAAGCTGCTCATCCTATCATTCAATCATTTTTGTAGTGAAAATGAGAGAAATATGGCGACCACTGGTCATTGACCGGTACTTCTCTGAGGCTGGTCAAAGGCTGACCAGTCCAAGGATCTCTGAACTGAACCCTCGGACCCTGACCTGAAGGATGCGATGGTGGAACAAATGAACGGAAATGCCATTGTATTTGAACGCACTTCTCTTTTGTAAAAATTAAGTGTAAACTACACTAGTAATCCCTTTTGTTTTTATTCATCCTTTTTTTAGTCACTAGTTTAAAAAAAATACGTTTTGGTCACTTTTATTTTTGATATGTCTTAACACATCCGTAAAAATGGTTAAATTTTAACTTGACCCTTGATTTAGATGTAATACTAATTTAACCTTAAATTTTATATAAAATACTAATTTATCCATAAACAAATCAAATTACATCTCAAATTCATCTACAGAAATTATCCAAACCCTAATGCTTTAAAACCCAATGTTATTATACTCTTGAAACCAACTGGACCTTAGGCATTTGTATTAAGAGATTATCTACAGCAATTCATGTATGATTATGTAGTGAAGCAAATACTCCTCTAGCGCTTGGGGGGTAGGATTAGCTGAATTAATTTTGCTGACAGAACAATGCTCTCCTCCCAAGAAATACACAAGTCTAAAATGATGCTGGTTAATATAAGATTTTTTAAAAAAAAATAAGTTATAACCGAAAATTTATAGAGTTTAAATTTTTAGAGTAAATTGAATAACATTTTAGCTTGAAATTAAAAATATTACCTTTTCCTTAACAAATCATATAATTACATAATTATTCCAATAACAATCCAAGAAATATCTTAATTGTAACGAAAATTATTTTTTAGAATAGACAAATAACATTTTAGGTTAAAACCGTCACAATATAACATTATTACCAATTGTATAACTTTCTAAATTGTACATGATAACAATTTAGATTAAAACTCGCCGCAAATTAACCTTACATTAAGCCTCCACACAACAGAACCAACTGGCAAGGGGACAAAAGATAACATGCATCCATTATCGACATCCACCGGGATCGCATAACATGGTTGCCAAGTGAAATAAGATGGATCTTTCATATGCTTTGATTCAATACATAATAATCAGAGCTGAAGAAAACCAAATGGCCAGTATTGAACTTCAAAATTTGTAATATACATGAACGATAAATGCTGTTCCAGCACATTGAATAATAAATCAGCTTCTTCATAAGATTAATTCATTAAAATAGGTTTTGCAGAACAGTCCCCTGCACAGATTAAGACCTGTATACAAACACCAACAAAGTACTCCCACACAAACTAATCACCTATAAATGAATTGTGTTTATTTTCTCAAGTTCAATAAATACCCTCGAATTGCCTAGAAACAAATACTATTATATAACGAAAGCAACTAGTGATTTCTCATAAACATGCTAAAAGAATTTCAGTTTTCCATGGGATAGAGTCGACCTCGCATGCTGCAGTTTACACGTTGCTTTCTGCGTTCCTGTCAAGTTGGAACATGCATCTGTTGCCCCTAAAGTAACAGCAAAGTAAAGGTAGATGGTACACAGGAATGTTAAGAGTCCCAAAGCTGTTAAGAGGAACCTGTGCCTCTGAACAAGTGTTGACCAGCTACCCAACTCATCTTTCGGGAATTGCTTCCTCATAGATCCCGACCTCCGATGGGGAGAAGATACAATACTGTCAAGAACCATAGCTTAGAGGCTAATAGTCCTTAGACAATGCGACCTGAAACCATGTAGCCAATTCAATTCGTTGCTATTTAGTAAAACCAGAAGAGCATCAGGCTAATGCATTAAATCACCATATGTAAAGAAAGGCAAGGAACCAGAATATTAACCGAGTATATATGTGTGTGTATGTGTATATTAACACTAAATATTCAGTGGAAATGATTTTAAAGATGACCTCACTACATTTTCATTTCCTTTTTGAGAAAGGGAGAGAACGGTCATCGTGTGTTTGAACCCTAGATCCATGTCAACCAAAACTTGAAATGGGAAGGTATATCTCGAACACATCAAGTGAAACACATGCCAATATATGAAAGATTGATCAACCCTGATAGAAAAGTCTTAAAAAAAGGTATAGTAGTCTTAACGGTAATACAAAACTTTGCAAAACATTTTTCTACAGATTCAATCTGAGCTTGAAGATCGATGACATTGTAAACATTCAAAATGTCTCAACAGGAAAGAAAACCATATTTTCCAAATAAAACATTAATTAGCTTAATCAATGTTGGATTCTTATATCAGAAAGAATAAATCTTCAACTTCCCTTTCACCTGAAAAATATTTATGCTTTAATTATTTCCAATGAGACGGACACTTGACCTAAATTGTTCTCATTTCAGTTAGATAAATAATAGATCTTTTTTCCATTCCTTAATCCGAAAACATGGTATCAACTCAGATCCCTAGAAACCCAAAAAGAGAAGAGGCAGAATAACGTGTTAAATCTACACGAAATGCAAATCTAATCAGAAACAAATTAAAAACCAGGGGAATCAATGCATATTTCTATCAAACAGACATAAAATTGGAAACCCATCTCCATCCTTAAAAACTAAGCAAAACCCAGATCTGCAAATGAACCAAATAATTAACAAACTTACACTCGAGTAAAAATGTAGGATGGATCAAAGGGAAGAAGCAAACAATGGGTGCGCTTCTCTCCCTTGTGTCACGGGCTCACGGTGATATTGAAAAAGGGTGGAAAGCAGGAATGAAGGGGGAAGGCAGCGTGGAGGGGGTTTTTTGAAGCAAGTAATGGGCCAACAAAGGGAGTTTTGATGTTTGGAGATTTCAAAGGTCGTTTAATCATAGCCTACCCAAACAACGCGTGCGGGGTAAAAATGGGAAAGTGTTCTCCATTTGGACTACATCCAGGTAACTCTTATTTCAATGTTTGTTTAATAATTTCAACGAATTCAAGGTACCTTGAATATAATTAATAATTAAGGGTAAATTATGTATTTAGTCACCTATTTTTATCATTCATTTATTTTGTTTTGTTTTATTTTTGCACGAACCAAACTATCTATGTGTTAAAGAAATTATTGACATTCCTTGATGTTCTAGATTCAAGCATTAGGAATGCTACGTAGTATGAGTGTTCAATATCAAATTGTTGAGAGCTATATTTGAACATATATTATTTTATACTTATCCTAGATTAATAAAAAAAAATTAAAAAAAAAATCATATTTAAATTTATCATTTAAGCTTTCATGTTTGGAATCATACAACAACAACAACAACAACAACAACAAAACCCTATTCCCATATGCAATGGGGTAAGGGGGAGGTAGGGTAGTAGGCTGCCCCCAACGCCAGGATTGAGAGCAGCTTCCGTGGAAGACCTCCGGTAGTAAGAAAATTAAAAATAAAGATAAGATGCAATGCATGTATAAATAAATAAATAAATACATAGTTGAACTGTATTCATAAGCAGTCTTCATATGCGCGTCTGTAATGAGAATAAGTAAGCCCTTCGCATAAATCCTTGCGTAAAACATCTCTGAATATAGACAGAAACGTAAGACCCGACCAAAAAAAAAGGAGACCTAAAGAGAATGATACACAGAAGTCAACGATAGCAAGTTACAATAAGGAATAAAGTCAAATAGGCTAAAACCTAAACTAAGGCCACACTACTCCGCTACCCTAGTTCTAAGCTTTCATAAATTATAATGACAGAAACTTATAAAAATATTAGTCATGGAAATTATTACTAAGGCATTAAAAGGAATATAGAGATGTTACACCCTATGTTTGTGACCCGCACTACTCGGCTACCCTGGTCTTAAGTCTCCATACTTTCCTATCAGAGGTCATGTCCTCGGTAAGGGCTAAATCCTTCAAATCAGATCTCAAGCAGTATTCCCACTTCCGCCTTGGTCTTCCTCTCCTTCTAGCACCGTCGACTGTAATCGACTCTACCCTCCTGACCGCATTCGACGTTTGTCGCCTAAGGACATACCCAAACCACTGTAGTCTTCCCTCCCTCAATTTTTCGGATACATGTACCACCCCCAAAGACATCCTAATAGCAGAGTTCGGTGTCATGTCCCACAGAGTCCTACCACATGCCCATCGAAACATTCTCATTTCTGCGGCCTCCATCCTCCTTACGTGATCCTTCTTGATTGCCCAACATTCCAATCCATACAGCAACGCTGGTCTTATTGCCATTCTATAAAATTTTCCCTTAAGTTTTAGAGGCAACTTCTTGTCACACAAAACTCCAGTAGTAGCCCTCCACTTTAGCCATCCCGCCTTTATACGCTGTGTAACGTCATCATCTACACCCACATCTTTATGTGTTGAAAACATTTTGATATTTCGATATAACAAATTAAGTTAAATGAATTTTAAGATTTTCCAAAAATATTTTCTAAGTATATTCGATATAAATATTCGAATATCAAAATATTACTCTAAATCATTCAAATGTCATTTTTAATCCTTACTCAAGTGTAAAATTAAGTTTTAATCTTAAAATAATTTCAAAACAATTTCACAAAATATTTCGAACCATCTCAAAGCCAAAAATTCCAGATTGCTCAGAGGGAACTGATTCTCCCTCAATGGGGTATCGATTCCCCCTGAATGGTTTGGCTCCGAAAAATTCCAGTATGCTCGGAGGGAACCGATTCCCCCCCAGGGGGTACTGATTCCCCCCTGTTTAACGGTCGAAATATTTGAATTTTACACTTAGGGAACCGATTCCCCTTAAGGGGTACTGATTCCCCCCACGCTCCAAATTGTTTTATTAATTGATTTCACACTAAAACGGCTATATTATCTTCATTAATGATCCCCAACGTTCAGAAGTGATTCAAGGTGTATTTAAGCAAGCTTAGAAGCCATTGATCAAGAACAAGAAACATCAAGCAACTAGAATCAAGAGAGAATTAAAGAGAAAGCATCAAACCTCAAGTTTGAGCATTTCAAGCCTATTTTTCATTCAATATTCATTTTGCTTTCAAGAACACTTATTGTGCTCAATTGTATTCATTCTTGAGTGTTCTTTTCTTTGTTCTAGAATTGTGCAAACAATCTACCTTGTGAGGATTTCCTTGTAAGTTTGCAAATTTGTATTGTTCTCTTTGGGAGATAGTGTTCTCAAGAATTTGGGGTAAAATTCTTGAGGGTTTGTAAGGTTACTCTTTGTCCTCAAAAGAAAGACAAATTAGTGAATTTGTGGAAAATCCTTAGTTTGGATAGCTAAGGTAGTGGACGTAAACTTTGGTTGAGAAAGTCGAACCACTCTAAATCGCTGTGCAATTTCTTTTAATTTTCTGCAAAAGCTTCCACCAAAATTTTTATTGTCAATTCACCCCCTCTTGGCCGATTCCGTCAATCGATTAACTCAACAATTGGCATTAGAGCCTAACTCATTTGAAGGTTTAATCGCCTCTTGAGTCGATTCGAGAAGAGTTACATCGATAATTAAAGTTATCAATAGCCACTACATCAAACTTCGACTCCAGTCTCGATTCGATGCCCGTCAACAAGCCTCCTTTCTTCAATGGGGGCTAACTATGCCTATTGGAAGAATAGGATGATGTACTTCATTCAAGCAAGTGACATGGGAGCATGGATTGTCATAGTAGAAGGATACATCAAGCCTCTCACTCATCCAAGATTGTGGAGTGAATGAGAGACAAAAATGTTCCAGCTCAACTCCAAAGCCATCCATATCATATTTTGTGCTCTTGGACCAGATGAATATGGGAGAGTTTCATCTTGTACAACCACCAAAGAAATATAGGACAAACTTCAAGTCACTCATGAAGGTACCGATGAGGTAAAGAAATCTAAATTTAGTATTCTAATGCATAGCTATGAAAATTTCAGGATGAAACCAAATGAAGATATCAAAGCTATGACGGATAGATTTTCAACGATTGTCAATGGTCTCAAATCATATAGAGAGATCATTTCAAATGAAAAGCTTGTGAGGTAGTTAGTCTACTCCCTCCCAAAATCATGGGAATCAAAGAAGACGACAATCATCGAGTCTAAGGACCTAACGTCCTTAACTCTTGAAGAGTTAATCGGTTCACTTCTCACTCGTGAAATGATGCTTGAAGATGAGGTAGACCTCGATAAGATTGAAGAGACACCAAATGAGAAGGAGAAGAAGAAAAACATTGGAGTTGCTCTCAAATCCACAAAAGATGAGAGTGATTCGGATGAAGATGACGATGATGAGGAAATGGCATTGTTTGCCAAACGGTTCAGAAAAATGATGAGACTTTACCGAGGGAGAAAATTCAAACGAAATGAAGGCCTAAAAATGAAACAAAAGAGAAGGATCCAATCATTTGCTATGAATGCAAAAAGCCAGGGCATGTCAAATATGATTGCCCACAATTGAAGAGAAAGGGTCAATCAAAGAATAAGCACAAGGCTCATGTGGCTACATGGAGCGATGAAGAAGGTTCCGATGAAGAGGAACAAGAAGTAGCAAACTTGTGCTTGATGGCATTCGGGGAAGATTCTAAGGTAACCTCTAACTCATCTGATTTTGATGATTTATCCTATGATGAGCTATTAGAGGAATATAATGGGTTGGCTTCGAATTATGAGAAATTATTTTTAAAATATAAAAATGATGTTTCAAAATTGAAAAATGAAAATAAACTCATATCCAAAACCAACAACGATCTTGAAAGTAAAATCAAAGATTTGCAAATCAAACTATAAGAGTTTGAAAAGAAAATTTTGGATTTGCAAAATTTACTTTCAAAGGTCAATGATGATCATCAAAAGAAAATTGATTATCTTAAAGCTTCTTTTGATAAAGTTGGAACAAAACGTTTTGAAAATGGAGAAAATTCAAAATCTAACTTTGTTAGAAAAAGTTTTAAAAACTACAATCATAGAGGTCCCCAAAGAACCTCTAATAGAAAAATCGTTAGAAGTATATGGGTTCCTAAAAAGCTCATTACTACTAAAGATAAAGATATCCTACACAAATGGATACCTAAGGGGACTAGGATTTTGGAAACTAATGAATATGGACCCAAAAGAATTTGAGTACCAAAAATTAGAAATTAATCTATGTTTGTAGGAAAATGAGCATTGCTACAAGGCACGAGAAACAAATTCAAATTCATGGTACCTTGATAGTGGATGCTCAAGACACATGACCGGAGACAAAAGCCGGTTCATTGAGCTTAACATCAAAAATGGAGGGGAAGTGACTTTTGGTGATGATTCAAAAGGTCACATTGAAGGTATTGGTACTATCGATAATACCTCTTCCATACAAATTAAGAATGTTTTATATATATATGGATTAAAGCATAATCTATTGAGTATTAGTCAATTTTGTGATAAAGGATTCAATGTCATGTTTGATATTAATGGTTGTAAAGTCATTGACATTACATCTAATCGGATTATGCTTGTTGGTCATAGAATAGGAAACATATACATGGTGCATTTAGATTATATTAATATGACTAATTTGTGCCTAGTTGCTAAGGATGAACATGATAGTTGGTTATGGCATAGGAGACTAGGACATGCTAGTATGAGTGTTTTGCAACGGCTAATTCAAGGTGATTTAGTTCGAGGGTTGCCTAAGCTTAAATTTGATAATGATAAAATCTGTGATGCTTGTGCTAAAGGAAAACAAAAGCGAGTTTCTTTTAAATCCATTAATGACGTATCAACTAGTAGAGTATTACAATTGATCCATATAGATCTTTTTGGGCCAACTAGGACTACTAGCTTGGGTGGAAAACAATATGCATTTGTCTTGGTAGATGACTATTCTAGATATACTTGGGTTCTATTCTTAAGTACTAAAGATGAAGCATTCGAACATTTCATCACATTTTCAAAAATAATCCAAAATGAAAAAGGTTACTCTATAACTAGTGTTAGGAGTGATCATGGCACTGAATTTGAAAATCTTGGATTTATTGAGTTTTGTAATTCTAATGGTATTAGTCATAATTTTTCAGCACCTAGAACTCCTCAACAAAATGGAGTTGTTCAGAGGAAAAATCGAACTTTAGAAGAAATGGCTAGAACCATGCTTTGTGAAAATAATTTGCCAAAATATTTTTGGGCGGAAGCCACAAATACCGCTTGTTATGTTATAAATCGAGTAATGATTAGGCCAATTTTAAAGAAAACTCCATATGAAATTTTCAAAAATAAAAAGCCTAACATTAGCTATTTTCATCCTTTTGAATGTAAATGTTTTGTTTTAAACAATGGTAAAGAAAACCTTGGCAAATTTGATGCTAAAAGTGATGATGGAATTTTTCTGGGTTATTCCATAAATTCTAAAGCTTATCGAGTATTTAATAAAATAACTTTAGTTGTAGAAGAGTATATACATGTTGTTTTCGATGATAATCCCCTTCCGAGGGAGAATTCTTGTGTGAATGATGATGTAGGTGTTATAAATAAAAATGACGTTAAACATGACGTTGGAGAACCATCATCAAAGGAAGAAATGAAAAATGAGGAAACTCATGATCCTCTTGAGAATTCAACCATTGAAGAAAGGGAAATATCTTATCCAAGAGAGTACAACTATGTCAAGGATGGTGAAATTATAGGTGATCTATTCAAAGGGGTAACAACTCGATCTTCTCTTAGAAATATTTGTAATTATGTTGCATTTATCTCATGCATAGAGCCTAAGAATATTAAAGAAGCATTAAATGATGAACATTGGATTATGGCTATGCAAGAAGAATTAAATCAATTTGAGAGAAGTGAAGTATATACATTAGTTGAAAGGCCTAGTAATAAATCTATTGTAGGTACTAGATGGGTATTTAGAAATAAGCTTGATGAGAGTGGTAATATTGTGAGAAACAAGGCTAGACTTGTTGCTCAAGGGTATACTCAAGAAGAGGGCATAGACTATGATGAAACATACGCTCCCGTAGCTAGGATGGAAGCAATTAGAATGTTATTAGCATTTGCATGTTTTCATGAATTTAAATTATATCAAATGGATGTTAAAAGTGCATTTTTAAATGGTTTTATAAAGGAAGAAGTGTATGTGGAACAACCTCCAGGTTTTGAAGATTCAAAATTTTCAGATCATGTTCTTAAATTGACAAAAGCACTTTATGGTTTAAAACAAGCTTCTAGAGCTTGGTATGAAAGATTGTCAATTTTTTTAATTGAAAAAGGGTTTTCAAAAGGGAAGGTTGACACTACATTATTTTTAAAGCATAAAGGTAAATATTTATTAGTAGTTCAAATTTATGTTGATGATATAATATTTGGTTCTACTAATGATGTTCTTTGCCAAGAATTTTCTAAGCTAATGTAAAGTGAATTCGAAATGAGCATGATGGGGGAGCTCTCATTTTTCTTGGGACTCCAAATCAAGCAAAGAAAAGATGGCATCTTCATCAATCAAGCTAAATACGTCAAAGACATGCTCAAGAAGTTTGGACTGGAAAATAGCAAACCTCATGACACTCCAATGAGCTCTTCAACAAAGCTTGACTTAGATGAAGGAGGTAAATGTGTATATTTTAAATTATATAGGTCAATGATTGGATCTCTACTTTATCTAACTGCAAGTAGACCGGACATTATGTTTAGTGTTTGTTTATGTGCTAGATTTCAATCATGCCCTAAGGAATCATATTTACTAGCTGTTAAGAGAATCTTTAGATACCTTAAGGACACTCCTAGTTTAGGACTTTGGTATCCTAGAGACTCTAGCTTTAGCTTGTATGCTTTTTCATATGCAGATTATGGAGGATGCAAATTAGATAGGAAATGCACGTCCGGTACTTGCCAATTCCTTGGAAATATGTTGATTTCTTGGTTTTCAAAGAAACAAAATTGTGTTGCATTATCTACCACTGAAGCCGAATACATTTCAGCTGGTAGTTGTTGTGCACAAGTTTTATGGATGAAACAATAACTTTTTGATTATGGAATTGAAGTTGGTACCATTCCTATCAAGTGTGACAATACTAGTGATATTTGTCTCACTAAAAATCCCATCCAACACTCTAGAACTAAGCACATTGAAATAAGACATCACTTTATTAGAGACCATGTCACTAAGGAAGATATAGTTCTAGAATTTGTTGATACTTTGCACCAATTAGCGGATATCTTTACAAAACCTTTAGAAAAGGAAAGATTTTGGACACTTAGGAGAGAATTAGGTTTGACCAACCTATCTTCACTTAGTGTTTAAAATAATTTTAGCACTTTTAAGACTAAATGAAAAATGCTAATATTTGATTGCATTCATTGCTATTAGTTAGGGGGAGTTTATGATTCTTGATGAAAAATTAATTTTATGTTCAAATATCGTTTAAAGATTAATTTGATTGTTTGAACATGATTAATTTTTAATATATGAGTTACCAATACCACTAGAGAAAATTAATTTAGCATTTTGTGTGTTTAAAATCAGATTTTAGCATTTTGGTGCAGAGGGAATCGATAACCCCATGAGGGAACCGATACCCCCATGAGGGAACCGATTCCCCCCTTTGAAGGGGATCCGATTCCCCCCACAGGGGAATCGATACCCTCCTGGATTTATGGAATTTAACACGGGCAGAACACCCAAATATCCTAAAACCCTCTTCTTTCTCTCATTGCCTCCGTTCTTCCCCTCTACTCTCTCAAATCTCCAATTTTGCCTCAAATCAACGATTTTAATCGGAATTCACTTTAAATATCATCTTCTAAACTTGCTATCATCATTAAAATCGTGCAAACAACATCAAAATCCACTCAATCTCATCTTTCAAGGTAAATTTTTCTAAAACTCTCTATTTCATTGATTTTGAACATAGGACTAGTTTTAATTAGTTCTAGATAGAAATAGTGATCGGGCATTGATTGTTTAGTGATTAAAAACTAGACATTACAACTAATTTCATCAAAAACACAAGAATTTTCCAAAATATTTGAAATTTTCGAAATAATAAATAATAAAAAAATTCAAATTATTGTGTTTTGATTGAATAATGTTTTTGTTATGAAAACTATACATATATTGTTTCTCAAAACCGTATTTTTCAAAAGTTTTCAAAAACTTTGCCCATTAGGATTGATTTAGAGAACCTTGAAATATTGAGGACTCAATTGAGTTTTGGGATTGATTGAATTGCATACATGTGTTTTCTAAATTGCAGGTTATCCATCTATTCCGATTTCCTAAACAATGTCCAATCCTAAATGTGCTAGGTCATCTTCTAGTCGCTCAAACTGTCAATCCAACCCTCCTCCAAATCCTCCTCCTATTCCTGAAAATCCAATTCCTAATCCTAATCCCATTGATCCTAATTTGACTATTCAAAACTCGTGCTTCAATCATCCTAGTCCTAGAAATCATCGTTTTTGGTATTATCAATATTTCGACTCTTACAAAATTAGAGAAGAACGTATCCCTTCTCGTCAAGCTACGTTAGATATTAATTTTAAATATCTTCCTCTTTTACAAGAGTGGAAATTTGATAAACTTTTTGACCTTGAACATATAGTTTATCATCAACTTGTTCGCATCTTTTATTATAATGCCGTTTGTGTCAAAAACCGAGCTCAAACCGAAACCATAGAAGTTAGTTCCTACCTCCTATGACAATTCTTACATATTAACTCGGCTTACATAGCCAAGGCAATAGGATTAGATAACGATGGTATTTCAAATGAAAAACAAATTTTATGATCTCGTTATAAAAGAAGGGATAGTGAGAGTGTCTTAGACATTCATGAACGTTTTCTTCATCTAATGATTTCTTGGTGGTTTCTACCATCCGGAGGTCGTTATTATACTCTTAGAGCCTTGGATCTTTGGTGGTTACATTGTTTTGAAAAAAGTATTAAAATTAACCTACCTCAGATCATTTTTGCTGAAATTGTTAAAACCGTAAATCTTGTTCCTAACAAGAAACTTTGTTCATCTCTAGTTTACGGTTGCATTTTGAGTAATCTATTTTCTAAAGCCAGGCTTAGAGTTGGTCTAGATGCCTCATTTCCTCTAAAGAAACAAATTAATCTTCTTTCCTTAATGAGAGCGGGATGGATAAAGGATAAGGAAACCAGTGAATGAGTTCGATCGTCTGAAAATACTCCGGGAGCTAGTTGTTCATGAGCTCCACCAGAAGGTGACGATGATCCCGAGCTTCAACAATTAATGCGAGACATCGATGAAGCCGAAGATGAGCCTGAACAGCCCGAGGAGCAAGCACAACAAATGCATCAAGTGCCTCCACATTTTCAATCTTTTATGGAGACATTCGATTTCCGATATGCTACCATGGATTCACGCTTTACTTCTATAGAGTCCCATTTATCCACAATGGGAGCTCAACAATTAGAAATCCTCCGAGAGATGCACACAAACAATGCTTCAATGAATGAACGTATTGATGCACTCTCA